TAAGGGTTTTCAAGGCTTATCTTATGATTGCTTGGTGGGCAAGCAACTAGATAAGGATAAGGACTGAAACCCTAATCTCTACACTTATATAAAGACCCCTAAGGCTATAAGAATTCGCCCATGCCTTACTAAAGGGTTATTAGGGACAATTTCATACCTTCTCCCTCTTTCTCTTGTCTCTCTATCTGCTTTTGGTGTTTGTGAGCCATTAGAGGTACTACACTTGTGGTACTTGCTTTCAAGACTTAGGGTTTGAAGATTTGAGTTGTTATTGCAATATAACAACAAGAGGTATGTAATCTAATCTACTATATGAATTTCGAAAATACTAGGGCATACTAGGGTTTCTTTATGTGTTCATAATGTCGTGTATCTAATAATGAAAACATAGATCCAATTCTAAGGTTGCATGTCACATAGGATTGTTTGTACAAAACCCATCAGTGGTATCAGAGCCTTTGGTTAACTTGTTTTCAATTAGTATTATACAATTGTATGAAGTTGACATATTAGGGTTTATAGCCAATAAACCCTAGGAGGCTAAAAATTTCAAGATTAGGGTTTCTATACCCTAATTTGCAAAAAATTGAAAGGGTTTTCAAATCCTTTCCTTAAGCCTCAAGATTTCGAAATCTAGGGTTTACACAACCCTATGATTTTCAAAATTAGCCTACTCCCCAAGATAAGATCCTAAATTTTAGGGATTTGGATTATCTCATATCTTGTAATTATCCTTTAATGGTTATATATAGTAATTAAAGATTTTGAATTATCTTATCCCATTATTTTTGAAATTTAGAGGGATTAAAGGATTAGGATAAATTAATTGTTTAATTTGTAATTATCTTTTATGATTTAGATAACTCCTTATGATTTAATAATTTAAATTAATAGTTTAATTCAAGATAATTATTAAATTAAGAGTTTTAATATTTAAAATTTTAATTTATATAGTCTTAAATTGCTAAAACTTTAAAGTGAGATTAAAACTTAATTGTTTTGAAAAGTTTCAAAACTTACCCTCAAGTTTTGGAATTTAAATTGGTTGATTAAAAGTTTAATTTTGTAAAATGATAAATTCTAAAACCCTAATTTTGAAAAAGTTCAAATTACACCCTTATGGCTTTATTAAATTAATTAAGTGTATAATTTAAAGAGAGTTAATAAATCCATAATGATGAAGTTTATATTTTATTAAAAGTGTAATTTATAAAATTTAAACCACCTAGTATTTTAAAAGTGTAAAATACACCCTTATACTACGTATAACATTAAAAATCTAATATTATATATATATTGCTAGTCTTACCGTTAGTAGGCCACATTCACGAAGCCGGTCTATAAGGGGGTATAAGGTTATGGCCTATAAATTAAATGGTTGTTTAATGGGTATCCACTCTTACCCACCGCTTCCTTGATTGGTGGAGGGTCGTTAGCCGAACGGGTAGGATAGGGCAATCCTCTCTTCATTAATAAGTATAATGAATCTATGTAAAGTAACTAAACGCTTTTACAATTTCCCAATCCTAGTTACTTTAGGCAAAAGTGAAATTGATGCAATCCCATGAAATTACACTTTGTACCCTTGCTAAGACGTTAGTGGAGCGTGTGTGGTTAACCGGTACACTAATTGGGTTCTAAGAAAATGTAGGAAAGGGTGACTCAATGTTTGTCATAGTTCGATGGAGTGTGTGTGGTTTACCGGCATATCGAATAGGTGACTGTAACAATGAGGGCACCATGTACATTTGCATGGTTATTCACACCCACTTTGTGATCCTCAGCATCCCAGTCACAAACGAGAGGGGCATATCGAGATTTAAACATGTCGTTGAAAAGTTCAATAAATCTCAAAGGAAATCTAGGAATTCTCAGTACATTTAAAACTTAAGCCTTTATGTTTTTCATGGTGACAAATTAGTGAATCGTCATTCACTTACCTCCGAATTATTTGCATGTTAGATTACGGCATCCCTCTTCTAATGTGTAAATAATGTTGTTAGATCCTAGCCTTAATGTCTCATTTGGGTGTTTCATTAAGGATTCAATCAACTAACTTGGATTTTCTCCTGTTTTGTAGATGTCTGACTCTAACAGTGGTCTTCCCGAATCCCAAGGAAAAGGTGTTCCTGTTGAAAGTGAAAGCTTGTTCAAAAGTGAAGGATCAATGTGGACTAGCTTGATTTCACTCTCTCCTCCTCCTCCCGTTGTTCTCCCCGACCCACAAGATTGAAGATTTGAAAGGTTAAAGATCACCGAAACCCTATTGGCAATGGAACATGAAAATGGTAAACCCGTGTGTGCTCACGTCCCATGGATGAAATCACACATTGATAGGCTGATTATGTTGGGTGCATCTTTTCCCAATAAGTTGGTTGTGGACTGGGTTCTTCAGTCACTCCCTAAATCATATGATAAATTCAAAAGAGAGTATTATATGATCGATCTTGACACAACCCTCATTGACTTAACTTACATGCTTATTGCTACTGAATCAGAAATGATTTGGCGAAGTAATGGAGCATATTTACCTGGTAATTCAACCAACCCATGCTTTCATACACATTCTAGAAGAACCCACCTGTTTCTACTGCCAAGAGAAGGGGCAATGGATATGAAGCTGCCCAAAGGACCTGAAGAGTCTAAGAGATGAGAGAGTTAAGAAGTATGGCTCTACTTCAGGTATAAAATCCACTATCTAACTCCACTAAATTCCTATTCTTTATACATAATGTGATAAGATTACATTTGCATGTTTTGTAGGATTAGAGAAAAGATAGGAAGTTTGATGGAAGAGCAAGATGAGTCTGATCACGAAGAAATGGATTACAATCACATGGATTCAAAGATCATATTTTGAGCTTAGGAAGTTATGATAGATTTGTTAGGAGTATTTGATTACATAGTTTTTCATTCGAATTTTGCATTGTAAGGACATGTTTTCAACTGCTTCTATAAATAAAATAAATTTTGGTTATTTGTTTATCCTTACAATAGCGTATATGAAAAATTGATGTTTGTGTACTTCTATTATTAGCAAAATGGATTTGATTCTTAATTAGGTTATTTATGGAAGTGTCAAGAGCTTACCAAATAGGGAGCACTACTAGAAAAAAAGGCCTTTTACGACGCGCAAAACACGACGCTCTTTGATTTATGTTACGCATTAGAGAGCGACCTTAAAAAAGTGTCATCTCTTCAAAAAATTTAAGGATTTAGGTCGCGCATTACTGAGTGCCCTTAAATTAGTGTCTCATGTAAAAATATTAAAAAAACGGAAGGCACTTGTGCGCCGTATGTGAATGTCGTTTTATATTTTCTTTTAAGAAACGCGCGTCTCGGTGGGAAAATGAAATCCCCAAAAATTTTAAACCCCACCTTCTTCTCCCTCGTCTCCACCCCTCGTCCACATCCACTACCTCCAATCCTCATTGCCTCTTCCAGCCTTAAACTATGGCGATGCACCTTCCTTCTCGAAGAATGCTAAATTTATGACCATCATCCGATTATGCGAGCCCAATGAATTGACGTAGACGAAGAAAATTATGGATCAATCGCTTCACATCATGTTTAAGGTTAAGGGTTTGAGATTTCTTCCAAATCGAACCTCACACTAAATGGTTGATCTCCTCTCTTTTTAGATTGTTCCCTCTACTGATGCCTCCACCTTCTACCATCGATGTTGATCTTTGAATTAGCAAGAAGAAGCCCTAGGGCCTCCGCCTTCACCCACGTTCTCACAGTCGATGGTGGAGCTAGAGAGAGAGTTTATGGTGTGTAAAATACAACATTCTTAAACCAGGGGATTCAAATAAATAGCATAACCCAAACCCTTTACGGTAATTGGGAGCCAATCAGGGCAAAACGCAACCCTCAGACCACTTTTTCTCTCAAGAAACCTACGGTACGTACAAATTTTCTTTTCTTCCTCTTCCTTTTCTTATCGGTATTCTTTCTCCTCCCTTCCTCTCCGGTGGTCGCCATTGTTGCCTTCTTTGACCAGCCCTACCCTTCCCTTTTCCCCAACCTAGGAGCATCTGTCGACGACTTCTCTGCTTCATCCGTTCAACAGATTGTCGATCACTGCCTCTACGATACCATCAACTGCTCCAGACCTATGAACAACATGTCTAAATCTCGCATCTAGATAGTGAAGATAAGGACATGTTGAATATTGAGAGGCAGTTTATGGGCGTGAAGCCCTAAATGTGATTGTGTGTGAAGGAATGGAATTAAGCATTCCTCCCTGTATGATACATTTGTTGCATTATCTGCTTGCCTTCCCCTGAACCATGGCCTTCTTCAATCCAAACCAGGTATGAACAGATATCTTTGCGTGTGTATGTGTAATTTGATTCTCTGTGTGTATGTGTAAATGGCCATTTTAACTTGTGTTCATATATACACAAGCAAATTATACATCTTATGCCTCAAAGGAGCTCTATGGAAATCTATTATAACTTGAAGTTGATTCAATTATTCCACTGTTTATGCAGCTTTCTTCAAACAGTTTGGCGAAATCCTGAGAATTAGGATAGCTTTCTTCAAACAACTTTTTTAAAACATAGTCCAATTCACTCACCTGTTAACTTAAGTTTTTGTCAAATCTAATGAGGAGACTTGAACTTACTATCTATGAAAAATATGTACAGGTTGCAAACATTGTTGCTGAAACAATGCATAATTACCTTTTGTATGAGTATTTTTTGCAATTATAGCTCATCCCTCCAAAACGTGTTCATCCTAAATTGTATGTAGACATTTCAATATAATATTCCAGTCAAAGTTGTTGACTTGTACTTATGAACTTGTGTTTATGATTTCACCTGTTAACTAAAGTTTTTGTCAATTCTAATGAGGATAAATTTGTTGCTTTATTACACTATTACTGCTTATTTGATCATGGAAGTAGCAGGAACTTGCTAGTAATGATGAAGTCTTTTAGGTTTTTGGTTGTGATTCCACCTGAAAATGTAACATACTGGAAAGATTCCACGTGAATGAACCCAAATCTTATGCCAGCTGTCTTGCAATGCTTAATGGCCATTGTTCATCGTGCTTTTGAGACTGCATTATCATGGCTGGTGATTCTTTTTCTTATGAATTCCTTTATATTATGCATTTTTATTTTTATGTGTGGAATGTTAGGTGAATCTTGTAATGGATGCAGGAGGCTCAAATATGCGAGACAGGAGATGCTGCTGAGGTCAGAGAGTCAACTCTGGTTTCCATGCTTGTTTTCTCATAAAGAGTTTGTCTGTTAGAGAAGAACACATTCGGGATGTATCTGTTAATCTTTGTCTCAATTGAGAGAGAGATTTCCACAGGTAAACTGTTGACCTGTATTACAAATTTATGAGCTTTTATATGCTATCTCCTGTAAAAAATAAATTACATTACCTATAATGGTAAAAAGAGTAAATGATTTGCCCTTTACTTTAAGTAACATTCTATTGGGTGCAGATTCTGTGGAAATCATCTTGTTTGGATTCTCTTTTGTTCTCTGTGAATGGTGATCCACCTTCATCTCTCGTGAATGATCCTGCTTCAGTAGCTTCTGTTCGCTCTTTGTACCAAAGCGTTGTCAAGGAGTGGATTGTTGATTCGCTATCCTATGCTCCATGCACCACCCAAGGTCTTCTTCAGGTTTGTGACGTTAATGACCATATTACCCTTATATTCTAGACTGAACAAGCCTTTTAAATGAGACTTAATGACCATATTACCCTTGTATTCCAAAAAAACAAATTTCACAATATTCATCAATTTTAAATTTAACTCGTTAAGTCATTCTGTCCAGTTTAAGTAAAAAAAGAAACAAGCTGTAGTCTCAAAAGGTTCACTTTGTTGTAGTTTATTAAGTCTAACAAACTGACTGTGTCCAAACATAAACATTTCAGGAGCAACTTTGTAAAGCAAACACATGGCAAAAAGCACAGCCCACTACAGACGTTGTCTCTCTTTTATCTGAAATAAAAATAGGAACAGGGAAAACGGATTGTTGGAAGGGTAAAAAAACTGCCAACATTCCTGCAGTAATGGCATCTGCAGCTGCTGCATCGGGTGGAAATTTGAAGTCAACAGAGGCGTTTAATATTGAGGTTCTTAGCACTGCGTTGAATGAACATTGCAAATTCTAGATTGACGATGAACAATGGCCATTAAGCATTGCAAATTCTCAAATTTGATATTTTTGAAATCTCCAAGAACTTGATCTTTTCTGCTCACCAATTTTACTATTTAAAAAAAATTATTGCAGCCTGTTCACTTTGGATTTGTTGTTTCAAAGTATCTTCACGAATCTCTTAATTTGGGATGAATCTCATGTATAAAATGCATAAGAGAAACGGGAACACAAGCCCTAAAACTAATACAGGTAATCAATTATCTATTTCAATATTTTCTAATCATTGTTGATTGATTCCTTTTTGTAATAAATCATATTTGTTGATGCAGAGCTACCCAACCAAAATTCCCTTGGTAATCGAATAAATTGTGGTTGGTAATGAAGTTTTTGCATACCCTTGTCAAGTGCTTGGATAGTAGTGACTGGACCCATATGGAAGGTGCCTCAGATACTTAATTTTTGTTTTTCTTTGAACATTTGTTCTTTTTTACTGTTTCTTGATCTTATGCGGTGCTTTTATTTGTATAGTTATTTCAATCTCCACATGCCATGCATAATGAAGATGCCATGGAAGAATATATGTTCTTTGAACATTTGTTCTTTTTTACTGGGATGTGTTGACCAAGAAAGAAGCTAGGTATTTCAACAACGACAAAGAGTTAATGAAGTTGGTGGGCAACACTGGTGCAGGGCCTAATAATGTTTCTTCTGCATAACAAAAGAAGAACAAAGAAAGATCTGATGATATGCTCATGGAGATGAAGATCGGTTCTGCTAAAAAAAAGGTACGTTGAATTACTGATCATTGATTGATATTGGGGTTTGTTGGTCAAAGGAAGGTTTTTCTTTGGGCATTTTCTTCTAGATAGATGTTAGTACAGGGGTTTATGAATAAGGTTTCTTTGGTTTGGCCTCCTGACAGCAATTTACTTGGTGTTCTCTTGTTGATCATATGATGTACATCTCATCGTTTGCTTTTGGAGATAGCTAGTTTTCAATGAAACCCAAAGTTTGTAGGAAGATTAAGTTTCTTTACAAGGCCCATATTATATTTCCATGTTTTGGGAATCTTTAAAATTGTCTGCCTTGACGTCTTTGATCAATGAATCTTTCCTATTGAATGAATCTACAGCTGAATTTATTGATTTGGTGGTGTTCAGGGCTGCTGAAAGCTCTAGTGAGTCTGCAAATCCAGTAGAGTCAGAACTATATATTGGCAGGTAGCTAACCTTTCGGACACAGTAGAGTCAGAACTATATATTGTATTTACTTATTATAATATAAAAAAAATCTAGGTCCCAATGCTTTGCTGATTACCATGGATATGGTGGTTTAATTTAAAAGAATTTGAAAATGACCATTTTACCCTTATATCTATTTGGGAGGTAGCTAACCTTTTGGACGCACAAAATACTTCGCATTTATACTTTGGGTCTTAAACTTATCATTTCTTCTTTGTAAACGTGTTTATGAGGGATACTCATTTTCCAGTTTTGGGTGGGTTAATTTCTCATTTGTAGCTTCATTTAAAATTTTAATCACTCTGTGTTGTGTTATCATGTATGGATTTGTATTTATTTTGGGAATGCACTTGTAGAGACCATTGAGCTTACTTGGACAAATTTAGGGGTACCTTTAGATGGCATATCTGCTTTAACTTTGGTATTACCTCTCTCTCTCTCTATCTGCCTCTTTCTAGCTCTATACACTTTTAGAAATTCCACATGCTTGTGCTTATTGCTACTTCCATAACAAAGAACATTTGGATTTCTTTATTTTTACCAAAAATGCCACAGAAATAGCATAACACTTCCATTTCCTTTTTATAGTCCAATGACCTTATTTGAGCTACTTTTTTCTTTTCTCACACAATTTCCTTTTATTCCTTTCTGGCAGTTGTTTTGCGCATGATAAGCTTTCAGTATGACTACTATTCCTCAGATCATAATCCTTATGTCTCTCTTCATTATTGGATATGGGGTGAGACTTATTTTCACAACCTGCTCACTTATTCATACATAAATTCACTGTCTTATGTTGCCTGCATCATTTACCACATATAGGTCCTAAACTTCATGTGGCTCAAAATTTTCCTCATATGGCGTTACTTCCGATTTTGGGAACTGGTAAGTAAATGTAAATCCCCATTTTTTTTAAATACAATATAGTAAAGTAATTACATTACACACGACTATAACTTGGAAATCTTTTGGAAAAAATGGCTTGCTTCCTTGAACAAATGGCTTGTCAGGTAAAGGACAAACTAGAGAAGTGAGTTGAAGAGCTGACATGGAGATTAGACTTTGAAAAGCATTTGAGGGTATATAATTTTTTATATTTCTTGTATCTAATTAGTTTGTAAATTTTTGTAACAACTTCTATTAATTTGTTTTATCTTTCCATGGAACGATTATTTGTATGATATTAAATTTTATGTAATAGATTGTATTTTTTGTATATGATATTGTATTTTCTATTATGAGATATTAAACACAAATTTAATTTGAAAATTAGTAAATCTATAAATAATAATTTTTTTAACATTTAAAATTATGATACGCAAAAATGTGTGTCATCTTCATTTATGACATGGCCTTTCTTGACAGGGTCTTTCTTGATATGCAATGCGTGTCATTAACACGCGCGTCGTAAGGTTATGACACGCGAATGCGTGTCGTCTTCCTTTATGACAGGGCCTTCCTTGATACGCATTGCGTGTCGTAAACGCGCGTCGTAATTGCGTGTCGTAAATGAGCGTCGTAAATGCGCGTCGTCTCTCTTTATGACACGGCCTTCCTTGACACGCATTTGCGCGTCGTCTGAGCGTTTTACGACGCGCAATGAGCGTCGTAAAAGGCCTTTTTTCTAGTAGTGGAGAGTTTCTCATTGCCCAAGTTTCAAGTGGATAGGAACTTGGAATCGTGCAACAAGTATTACATGAAAAGTTTCACATTTGGGAAATTTAGACTAATTTATGACAAAGTGTCAATTTAAGGACTAAGAGATTGAGTACATTAAGTCGTGCGTTGATCAAGTCTACCACAAGAGTAACAAAGATATTCGTCATGATTTATTAAAGTTTAGTGAATATGGTTATACTTATAAGATTGAGTATAATTATGGGTTGATTAAAAGAGTTTCAATCAATAGCAGCACGAATAAGAAGAGTCAAGTAGGCAGAAAGATAAAAGTTTCTCCGCTCTAAGAAGAACGGAGAGTACCTTTTATTATGTTTTATGATAGGTCTTAATGATTAAGAACCATACCTCAATTGATCCTCTAAGTGAGTCTTATTACAATTTGTATGTCTAAGAAGAGGAATCAAGAATTGTGGAAATGGTTAAATCAAGAAGTCAATCATACTTCGTTCCAATATCAAGTCTTAGAGTTATACTCCAAGATTGTGAATTGAGTGACAAGTCTTAAGAAGGTCTGTAACATTCATCAAATGTGGAATTTGGAAAAGGGTTTTTGTTATTATTGCACATTTGAAATTGGTAAGTTGTGATGTCTTGGATAAGATAAAGACCAACGAGGATCAATCATATGAATTGTTTTGATGAAAGCTACACTAACTCTTGAATATTTCTTCGTCAAGAAATGGTTCTTGACAAGAGAATCTTATATGTTAAGGAGTTAGTGGGAGTCTTAATGGTCTTGAAAGGTTTCGAGAACAAATCAAGAATAGACCTTATCATTCATCACTACCACACAACTTGAGGTCTACAACCTATCATGTTGACACTATTTTTGTTTCTGTGTCATTCTAATTGAGTTAATTATGCATGTGAGTTCTACGAGTTCTAGATGGATTGTATAGGGGCAAGGCACCTTGTTCAATGGAAAGTACATTGAAATGAAGGGGTGGGCTGCTCAATAACTTGGAAGTAATGGTGGGACCCTTGATGGCAAGAAATTAAGAAGAACAAGTTCTATACATAAGACTTTGGATTTGTCACTGACATTATCTTGTGATTATGGTTATGATGAATTCACATGGATGGGAACGTATACACCACAAAATCTAAGTGTCATAAGGTTTCTTTCATTCATGAGAATGATTGTGAGGAAACTCTTTCACTAAGAGATATTTTGAACATAGCATTATGTAATTTGGGTTTCTCAAATTCAACTATGATTACGGCATACCTCTTCATAGTTCGAATTGTGGGAAATGGCAAATAGGTCTAAATATCTTAGACTTATTGATATGAGTCCTAGAATCGTTTAGACATATGCATATGAGCTATCCAAGGAAAAGTGTATGAGTTTGAGAAGCTTAGATAAAGTTTTATCAAAGCATCTAGTATTAGAAATATGAACATAAGAAATTGTTTTCTAGAAGTTCAGTTGATTTATGAATACATGTCGAAGCTAGTGGGAGCATAAGTGTTATGCTGGTAAAGAAATAATCATCATGTAAGTGGGAGCATGATTATTATGGTAAGTATTGCTAGTTAGCAATATTAATTATAGAAAACAAGAGTTATACTTTGCAAAGTTGTAAGAGTTGAAAAGTTGTTTTGCTATAATTATGGGAGAGAATATTGTACTTCGTTTCAAAAATATAAGGCTTAGATTTAGAAATTTTAATAAATTTAGTCAAAGGATACATAGTGAGTTCTTAAATTTCGATTATGATTATGGCATCCCTCTTCATAGTTCAAAATGTAAGAACGTGACACATAAAATATTATGGCAGAAGATTGATAGAGTATCGTATCTTTATGTAAGACATTATGCATCATGTCCCATACGCTTCGGGTATAGGAACAATTGCATATGATATAACATTTGACCATTCTAAAATTTTCCAAATGCCAAGGGCATTAAGAGGGAAATGGACTAGAACTGGTTTTGACTGAAATAATTAAACAACTATCAAAGGACGATCCAAATTTCGCTGAGGATTGGTCGCTTGTGAGTAGTTGGAAGTATGGTATTGAATGGACCATATCGACATTATTATGAATAGATAAGATTCTATTAAGAATGAGTTGTCATATGGTAAATATGGAAATGTTTCCATAATTGGGAGTTGGAAATTAAGAATTTATGTCTAGATTAGAAAATTTTATGCAAAAGGATGTTAAAAGGAATGTACTTTGAGTGAGAGACATCACATCTATAGAATTGTTTTGTAACAATTTTGATAGAGTAACTTGTGATTTCGTTGGCCGAGTCTTTGTGATTTTTGTGTCGTGACTTCACAAGAGAATCATTGCATAGAATATTAGAATTTGACATATTCTAAAAGGTGGCAAGAATTTGGTATACTTACACTAATTATAAGGATTGGGATTGTGAAATGAGTTGCATTTGAAAATTTTCAATTGATCTATTTCACTAAGTATGGACTATATGAAACCAAAGTGTGCATGCTTGGAGCATGGGACAATTATGGTTATGATTCGAGTTATAAAGTTGATTATCTGAAACATTAAACAATGGATAATGAGTAATCAATATGGTGATTAAATAAAGGTGTTTTATTTATACTCACAATTTTGGGGTCATATAAGATTAAGTAATATCATTGTGTTTCTCTTTGCATGTTTTGACTTCCAGAATAATTGAGTTTATTAAGAATAATCGAATTATTCAAACGGTCCACAGTCGGT